GACTGCAAATGAGAAGTGCTCTGAGGAGGGGATCACTTTATATAATGAGGGACAAATGACCCATGGAAGAGGCAGGAAAGAGCGGTCCCAGGCCAGGGGCTTCTGTCCTGGTGCTACCTCCCAGCTCTGGGACTTGGGGAGGTCCTGTCCCATCCCAGAGCGGGGCTGACTTACCCTCCCATCCTCTCAGGAACGCTGTTTCTGTTCTGGGGTCCAGCCCAAAATCTGCTCTTCAAACGCATGAATCTGGCCTCCAGGTGAGAGGCAGGAGAGAGAACCGTGAGCAAAGCCCTGTATTCCAGACCAAGCATCCAACCCACAAGCTCAGCTAGTGCAGTGGCAAAGCAAGTTTGGACTCACATTTGTGTGTGTGTGTGTGTGTGTGTGTGTGTGTGTTTCTCTGCCCTCCTGTCCGCTCTCCCCCAGGCCAGCCCCACCTGTGCTGACAACTTCCAGAATTCAAACCTGGCCACTGCCTGCCACCTGCCCTTGTGCCCCCACCCCTGACTGGTGTTAACTAGAGGTCAGCCAGGCAGAAAGGCCTGGCATTGTCAACACGCTTGCTTCCCAAGCAGTGACACCACTTTGATTTTCACCGCAGAGCACTGTCCTCGGCGCGGTGGATGCTTGGAGTCCGCCTGCTGCGGCCATGGTGCCTTTGTCTGGGCCTGAGGGAATGTGATTTATGTCATAAGCTCGCTGTGAAACCTTTTGCCTCAGTAATTCCGAGCTCCGTGGGTATCTCTTTACATCTATTTCAAGCCCAGCTGCTGCCCACGGACCGCGTGCTCTGTGACACTGCCGGCGCCTCTGTGCACCCCTCGCCACGGTGTGGAGTCTCGCCCGCAGTGTATCTTTGTGGCCTGGTTCAGTGTGTTTGCTGCGCACTCCGCGGGGCTGCGGAGCAGAGCTGGTCTGTCCCTTTGATGTCTCGTGTGGTGATTAGACTCCTTCCTGGTGGAACGTGCAGGTGGCCTGGGTGGAGGAAGATGCTGCAGCCAGGTTTCCAGTGTGTGCCCTGGTTGTCCTGGGCCCAGGCTAGACATCACAGGCACGTGTACCTTGGTTCAGAGAAGGCCAAGTATGGTAAATGCATTTGGGCCGCACCCTGCTCCCAGCCTGGAGTGCCATGGGCGCCCCCTAGAGGTGAGGTCGACCTCAGCACAAAGAACTCAGATCCCCATGTCCATTTCCAAGGACTTAACAGCAAGTGGCATGCCCTGGAGTTGCTGGAAATCTCCTTCATTTACTCAACATTGAGGTGTGCAGGGGTCAGCTCTGTGCATGTACAAGGAAAGCAATGGTGGGCAATGCTTTTTGGTGAAAGCCTCAAAGTATTCTGATTTCTCAAGGAAACTAATTCCTTCTACAATTGCTGGGAGAGTCAGTGTCACTTGTAGGAGCTGAACACGTCTCATAGCCTTTTGACCCCCATTATAGGACCCTCTCCCCAAACCTAAACCCAATTTACACCTCCACTGACCATGCTCTGTTCCTGTGGGGCTGACCCAGGATAGGGCCCCTGGAGACCCAGAGGGAGAGCCACTGTGCCTTGCCCTGCATGTCAAGGTCAAGGCAGGGGAATTCCCACAGCCCTGGAGACAGAGTTCAGATGTTAGAGGTCTTATCTTCAGGGAAGGTGCCCCTGGGGCTGCGCCTGAGACTTGGAAACCTGGGTAAAGGATCACTCAAATAGAGTGACTTCAAGGCCAACAAAGGATTATTTGTAGTCACTGCTGAAATGCACTGATATTTTTTCTTTAAAATAATTTGCCTCAGCCCTAGCCAGTTGGGCTCGGTGGATAAAGCATCAGCCTGTGGATCAAAGGGTCCCGGGTTTGATTCCGGTCAAGGGCACATACTTTGGTTGCAGGCTCCTCCCTGGCCCGGGCCCTGCTCGGGGCTCGTGCAGAAGGCAACCCATCGATGTTTCTCTCTGTCTTTCCCTCTCTCTTCTATTCTCCCTAAAAATCAATGGAAAAATATTCTTGGGTGAGGATTAACAACAAATACAATTTGCCTCAGATATTTTTCACTGGTGGCCCATCGCGTAAAGCCTGTTTCTTTTGCATTCTCTATGCAATTTCATATGGTGACAGTTGACGTGTGCATCTTGGTTTAAGGCAAACACCGTGTGACCCGGAGGGGCAGCGAGTGGGTCTTGTTTCCATGTTATGGTTGATGCACTAAGCCTGCTAATATTGGGATATGTTAAAATGCAAATTAGGAATATAACAGGTAAGTGTTATAGAATATAAAGCTGCTGGCATTCCCTCCCTTTCCAGAGCCCACCCTCCTGGAGCCACTGTATTAGTAGAGTGCCACGTGAGAATGGCTCAAAGACAATGTGAGAGTTAGTACAAGACACTTGTCATAATGTTTGTCAAGGAAACGCCCAGGGAGCCGTTTGGGTGGGCTTCCCACTTTTCACCTGTGTTTTTACAGACACAAACTTTACTCTGCATACATCTATAATGCAAAGTTAGCATTTGAGAGAAGTGTGTGAATCGCGCTATTTCAGACCATCTAGAACACTGTTCTTTTTGGATGACAGCCTTTCACCCATTCAAAACTTGTCAGGCATGTATGTCTCTTGCCTCTGACTGGTGAGCATGGGGAAGAGGGATCATTTTAAAATTAAGCGCACCCACTTTTACATTTAATGGAATGACTTCCCTTTGGTGAAGTCTTTTGGGAAAGACAATCTCTTACTCCAACCAATATTTTGGGAACTTTTCTTTTGGAAATATTTCCCGTCTTTTGAGTATTTTCTCTGGTGAGAACTCATTATTCTCCCTCTTTATTATTTCAAGCGAGATCTGACCCATGGGGACGGTGACAGACCGCTCAGAGGCAAGCCTGCAAAGGGGGGTTGAGGTCTCCACAGCCCTGACTCTGGAAAAGTCCCCTCACCTGGCTGAAACCCAGGAAGGAGAAACACCTGCCTGGTATTTCACAGGAAAGCATGAGGATGAAAATGAGGGAATTTGCAAACCTGTAATTAA